TGAAATAACCCAGGAACAGGGAGTTCTTCTGAATCAGACGAAACAGAGAGGGTTCTGCCACAAGTCATTTTAAGAGGAGGGCTGGAGAGGTGGCTCACGCTAAGAGCACATACAGCCTTTGCAGAGGGCCCCAGCAGTTCTCAGCACCCATATCAGGCCGCTCACAGGCATCTTTAATGCCAGCTCCAGGAGATCTGACGCCCTCTTCTGGCCTCTATAGGCACCTGCATTAATGTGCAAAGACACACATATGTATCTTCTTTTATGTTTAATCTCAGCACTTGGGAGGCAGAGACAGGAAGATCTCTGTGAGTTCGAGGCCAGCTTGGTGTACATAGTGAGTTCCAGGACTGCCAGGACTACATAGAGGGACCCTATCTCAAAAAAACAAAATAAATAAATAAAACTTATGGGAATGTCAATGGAAGGACAGTTCCTTAAAGAGCCACTTATTAGAGCTGAAGAGATGGTTCATTGTCTAGTAGCATTTGCTGCTCTTGCAGAGAACCCAGGTTCAGTTCCAAGTACCTATATGGTGGTTCACAACCATCTGTAACTCCAATTCCAGGGGAACATTCATGTAGGTAAAGCACTCATACTCATAAAGTAAAATAAATAAGTCTTAATTGTTTTTAGTTCACCTGTCTCTACCCTCAGTTAACAGACACATACAGCCATCCCCAACTTTTATGTGTGTTCTGGGGACCTGAATTCAGGTCTTCAACCTGGTCCAGCAAGCACTTTACCCATGGAGCCATCTTCTCAGTCTTGAGAAAGCTTCTAAAGGGATGATATAAACCAGGCAGTGATGGCACATGCCTTTAATCCCAACACTTGGGAGGCAGACGAAGGCGGATCTCTGAAGACAGCCTGGTCTACTGAGTGAGTTCCAAGACAGCCAGGCCAGGGCTACACAGAGAAACCCCATCTCAGGAAGGAGAAGGAGGAGAAGGAGAAGGAGGAGAAGACGAAAAGGACGATATCATTCAGAAAAAAATGTTGAATACACATTTGTTGACTCATGTATATTTAAGAAACACACATCAAACATGCATTTATGCCTTCTTCCACATGATGGCAATATTGAAGGAAGGCAGGGAAGGAGTATGTTTAGGATGGAATTTAAAATGTATCTGGGCCATTTTTTTCAAAGGTGTCTCAGAGCAATCACCAAGAACTCCCACATGCAAAATCTGGACAATGTAATCCTCAAAATAGAAAGTGAAATAATGTATTAAACCCACAAGAAAAATATTCATGAATCCATAGTGTTATAAGCAGACTCCAGCTAGTAGAGGAATAATGGAGGCAGAAAAATCACCATTTCACAAACATTATTGTAATACGTGTGCTAGGCAAGAGACATCAATAGTTGCTAAAATTGACAGATGAAAATTCCATGAGTAACAAAAGAGTGGCAGAGCGTCAGGTGATCTTGCTTAGTGTAATATTTGGACCTGATAATGAATGACAGACTACTTAGAAATCTGAGGACGTTATACTTTAAAAAAAAAATATGTCTTCAAAATGTTTCTAATGCGGTCTAAAGAAACTTTTTCTTTTAGTTCAGTAAAGAGAAGATGTGTTTACTGTGTATCTTAGCCTGTTTGGGTTTTTGTATCAGAACACCATAGACCCAGAGCTGAAACAACACATGTTCATTTCCCACAGTTCCAGGGCCTGGGAAGTACAAGACCCAAGCACTGATAGAAGTGGTGTCTGCTGAGGGCCCATTTCCTGCTTTACAGATGCTGCGAACACAGAACTCCGGCCTCTTCCTCTTCTTATTTATCGGGCTTTTATCGGATGGGGGGAGGAGAGTCGGTCCTTCTCTATATTTCCCCCAATGCTAGCCCCTTAGTGTTAGGGTTTTAGCAACATATGTGTTTGGTGGACACATACATTCAGTCTATGATAGCCTACAGCAACAACCAGTGAAGTGTGTGTGTGTGTGTGTGTGTGTGTGTGTGTGTATTCATGTACACATGTGTATGAGTCTGTGATGTCTAGCTTCTAATATTTGACCTAATATTCTAATATTCATTTAGTCTGTGATTCTGGAACTCTGTCATTTTACTACTTTGAGATTCTAGGATGTTTCATGATCCTAAAATATTACCGTTCTTTTATTCTGATTTCAGAATTCAAAGATGTCATTATCCTGCTTTCTTTCATTCCTAGTTCTGATCTCACGACAGCCTCAGCAGAAGTCCTGTGAGTCCTCCAAGACCTACACAGCTTCATCACTGAAGCCTTGTGACTGTGCCCCATGGTCCCCTGGTCGGTAGTGGTAGAAGGAAAGAGCCCAACATTTCACAATAAAGCATGAAGCAGGGTAGGCACCTTTGATGTACTAGGGAAGGTCTACTTTCTAGGATATTTTAAGAACTGATTATCGGGTGTCAGATATGATCACGCTTTTGAGATGATGTACGCTCTTACACTTTAATATGTGTGGGTAGAATTATATCTACACATTTCTGCTATTAAACCAGTGCTCAGTCCTAGGATAAAGCCTACTAAATATTAGACTTTTGCGTGTATTTATTTATTTATTTATTTATTTATTTATTTTGAGTGTGTATGTGTGTGGGTGGGTATGCCACAGCATGCAGTGGAGGTTGAGAACAACCTCTTGAACAGATCCCTCACCAAAGTAGCTGGACCTGGGCAAACTGGCATAAGAAGAGAATGTTCACTATAGTATGTTGCAGAGACTTGCAAATTACAGCAACAAGAAACCAAAATACAGAGAGCACCAAACACCAGCAAGGGGTGGAGAGATGGGAGCTCTCATTTGTTAATGCTGAGAACTCCAAACTGGTACAACCACAGTAGAAGACAGTTCGCTTTGTTATAAAACTAACCATCCTTCGACCATGTGCTCACAATCCTTTTCCTTGATAATTACCCAAAGGCGTTCAAAGCTTATGTCAGTAGAAAAATATATACACTGTTTTAGCAGCTTTATTTATAATTCCCCAAACATTGAAGCAACCAGCATGCCATTCAGTAGGTGAATGGATAAATAAACTATGGTGTGTCCATATAAAAATGTTACTCAGCCCAGAAAAAAAGAAATGAGATACCAAGCTATGGAAGGATCTTTAGGGCTTATTACTAAGTCAGAACTAATCTGAAACACTGTTTACTATTTGACCTTATCTATATCATAAAGGATGGAACCTTGACAACATGACCTTGTCTCCTTCTTAAGGGTTAATCCGGTGGGACAGGTCAGGGCACTGACTAGGGGGCATGCTCACCTTCTGATCATATGCTCTTTCATCCCAGTGCAAACTGGCCTCCTAGTGCATTTCCCTTGCTGTGCAAGCATGAGAACATGAGTTCAAATCCCATGCAGTGAAGTAAGAAATCAGAGTGTGGCCAGATGACCACCTGGGACCCTGGCACTGTGAGGGGCAAAGCCAGGAGAACTGCAGGATTTGCTGGCCAGCCAGCCTAGCTCCAGTTCAGTGAGAAACCTTGTCTCAGAGAAAAAGGCCGAGATTGATAGAGCAGAATACCCAATGTCCTCCCCTGGACATGTACATACATATCACATACATACACTAATTAATTTAATTAAAAGTAAAGAAATAACAGAAATTTTTAGAAAATGAATTTTTTTTTTAAATGAGGAAGCGAGAGGTCTCCTGGAGCAGGCTTCTGAGTGGTTTATCTTCGAGGCTCTGCCTGTGGATCTTCTGGACAGGCCTTTTGAGTATTAACAGTAGCAGCCGAAAGAGCCACTATCATATGCCAGGTGCTGCAGCTAAGTAACTCCCGTGAATTATGTCATTTTAGTTTTGAGAATAACTTCGCGAGTTCAGAATAGATACCCTCGTTCAGAGACGACATTAAGGGTCAGAAGATTGCCATGATTTGTCATGCATGGCCTTGCAGCCAGAAGTACAGAAGCCAGGATCTGAATCTCTGAATATGTGATTGAACTACAGGCTTCTGCTGTGAGCGCTTAACTCTCCTTGTGAAACCTGAGGCACCTATTAGCTCCTCCGTTCCAAAGATAACCCAAGTCACCAAGAGAATATCAGAGCCAAACCAGGTCTGTTAGACCCCTAAATCTGTTCGACTCCAAAGTAGAAAGTAAGGCAGGAATACAACAGAGAATGCCTTTAGGGAAAGTTTTGCCCTTTCCCAGGGAACTATCTCCCACCCAATCGCTTCCCTCCCTCCTTAGACCCCTTTCCAGAATTTTCCTTTCTCTTCCTTTCCCCAAGTGTTGCCTCTGGGCTGAAGAAGAACGAGATTTTCCCTGAGAGGGTAGAGAGCACAGCTTCCCAAGGATTGCTGAGAGAAAGAGCAGCCAGGGTACCACTAGGCCTGCATCTCCCAATCTCATACACCCGGGGAAGCCCTATATATAGACAGGCCTGGTTTAGCGCAGGAGTCGGCAGCGCTGAGTGTAAGTACAGCCTGGTGACAGACCATTAACAGCAGCTTCCCTTTTAAAAGTATCTGTTCAGGGGCTGGAGAGATAGCTGAGTGGTTAAAAAACTTTGATGTTCCAGAGGACCCGAGTTTGGGTCCTAGCGCCCACATGGGGTTGGATGGGAACTCATAACTGTAACTCCAGCACCAGGGGATCTGGACACCTCTGGCCTCAACAGGCACCCACATCCACGTGCATATACCCCACACAGAGACACAAGCACATAATTAAAAGTAAAATAAAAAATTAAAAATGAACAAAAGCATCTATTCTGAGACAGACATTTCATTGGGAGGGGGTTTCTTATACTTTTTAATTTAATATCCGCAGTCATCCAGTGGTTGGGCCTATTTTACCAAAGAGGAGCCTGGGATCCAGGATGTGAAGCCAGCAACCCAAGGACAGCAAGTCCTCAGAGCTTGGGACTTGAACCTACCAAGGACCCAGTTCTGCTGTTGCCTGGGAACAGAAGAGGGAGGAGCTGCCAGGGAGAAGGGAGGAGGGGACAGGGAGAGGGCAACCTCTCAGCAGCGAGCGCTGACGACAGCAGGTGATTTTTTTCTGCAGCGCGCACACTCTCAGCATCTTTTCTTGATCACCCCCCTCCCTTGCTGAGCCGCAAAAAAGGGTGGGGCCGCCTCTCTGCAGTAGAGACGGCGGCGGCAGCGGCTGCAGCATCACCAGGGGTACCGATACGGCAGAGGCAGCTGCACTCTCTGCTCTGTCTGGGTTGGAGGTGACCGCTGCCAAGCCCTAGGAGGCCGACTTGAACCAGACGGAAAGGAGACAAGAGCCTATTTGCCCAGCCCTCTCTCTGCGCCATGGCTTAAGCCCATAGCCTCCTTGCCAAGCATCTCCTCGCCCGGCCGGGGTCTGCGTGACACCGTAGCCGCAGGAAGGGCGCGCCCAGACGCCCTAGGCCTGGACTCTGGGACGCCAAACCTCGCTCTCATCCGTCACGGGCCACAGCAGGTCCTCTGCCGAAGGCGTTTGGAGACGGTAATCGAGGGACTTTGTGGACTTTATTTCAGCTGTATCTCATCCCCAGGTGCTCTTTGAGGGAGGAAGACAAGGAAAACGGCTGCTAGGGGGAGGAAGCGGTGGGAATCACATTGTCGGGTCTGGATTGGGGTTAAAGGGAGATTGGGGGTTTGATTTAGGACCACCAAAAGAGAGAGAGGACCGGTTTTGCACCTAGCATCATGGCGTGGCCGTGCATCACAAGGGCCTGCTGCATCGCCCGCTTCTGGAACCAGCTGGACAAGGCGGACATTGCGGTGCCGCTGGTTTTCACCAAGTACTCGGAGGCCACGGAGCATCCAGGGGCCCCGCCGCAGCCGCCAGCGCCGCTGCAGTCAGCGATAGCTCCCCCTTCGCGCGCTGTCGCCATAGAGACGCAGCCGGCCCAGGGCGAGTCGGATGTAGTTGCCCGGGCAACAGGGCCGGCGCCCGGGCCCAGCGGCGACCGCGAGAGTGCAACCGCCCCCGGCCGGAGTGGCCCGGGCCTGGGCGCGGCCTCGGGCTCCACTTCCGGCTCAGGCACCGCGGACTCGGTGATGCGACAGGACTACCGCGCCTGGAAAGTGCAGCGGCCAGAGCCCAGCTGCCGGCCGCGCAGCGAGTACCAGCCTTCCGACGCGCCCTTCGAGCGCGAGACCCAGTACCAGAAGGACTTCCGCGCCTGGCCACTCCCCCGCCGCGGGGACCACCCCTGGATCCCCAAGCCGGTGCAGATCCCTTCGACTTCTCAACCTTCCCCGTCTATTCTTGGGGTGCCCAAGCGTCGTCCGCAGAGCCAAGAGCGCGGGACCATGCAGACCTCTACGGAAGCCCGGGACCCGGAAGGCGGTGGAGGAGCCGGGGTGCCGGCGGCAGGAAAGGCGTCGGGTGCAGACCAGCGCGACACGCGCAGGAAAGCGGGACCGGCCTGGATGGTGACTCGCACCGAAGGGCATGAGGAGAAGCCGCTGCCCCCGGCCCAGTCCCTGACCCAGGAAGGCGGCCCTGCAGCTGGAAAGGCCTCTGGTGCAGACCAGCGTGACACACGCAGGAAGGCGGGACCGGCCTGGATGGTGACTCGCACAGAAGGGCACGAGGAGACGCCTCTGCCCCCGGCCCAGTCCCTGACCCAGGAGGGCGGCCCTGCAGCTGGAAAGGCCTCTGGTGCAGACCAGCGCGACACACGCAGGAAGGCCGGGCCCGCGTGGATGGTGACTCGCACAGAAGGGCACGAAGAGAAGCCACTGCCCCCAGCTCAGTCCCTGACCCAGGAGGGCGGCCCTGCAGCTGGAAAGGCCTCTGGTGCAGACCAGCGCGACACACGCAGGAAGGCCGGGCCCGCGTGGATGGTGACTCGCACAGAAGGGCACGAAGAGAAGCCACTGCCCCCAGCTCAGTCCCTGACCCAGGAGGGAGGCCCTGCAGCTGGAAAGGCATCTGGTGCAGATGAGCGTGACACACGCAGGAAGGCAGGACCGGCCTGGATGGTGCGTCGCTCGGAGGGGCACGAGCAGACACCCGCTGCCCATGCCCAAGCCGCAGGGCTCGAAGGCGGCAAAGGGCGCGCCGTGGCAGATGCCCTCAATAGGCAAATCCGGGAGGAGGTGACGAGTACAGTGAGCAGTTCCTACAGGTGAGACAGGGGTAACAGGTGATGCTGATCACCCTCGTCCCCTCGCGAGGACTATCCAGGGTTCATTTCCCCACCGAACACTTCTCATTCAGCCTCCTCTCTAGTGCTGGACCACACCCTCTCTCCATAGCCACATTCTAGAACCCTCACAACCCAGACTTCTCTGCCCCGCCCTGTAGGAAAGCCCTTAACATTTTCTACCCTGGTCTTCCCGGCTTGTTTTTTGTGCCACCCCTAAACCACATTGTCCTCCTTGCTGCCTAGCTCAGCACCCTACCCGCCCCACAGAGACCTTGTCAGTTTCCTCCCAGCTAAAATGCGCTTTCCTCCTGTCCTCCCAATTCACCTGCTGCCTAGGCCTGGATACTGCCACCCCCACCCCTCACCCCCAGTTGGCTCCACTCTTTCCAGGCAGTCCGTTCTCCTCCCTAGTCCAGTTCTTTCTCTTGGTCTCTCATTGGCTTCCTCCCCAGTCCCTGGCGGACACTCAAGGGCCACACCCTTTCCTAGATTCCCCACATGTCTTACAAATGACTCTCCTTCTCAACCACTAGTGCTTTGAATTCATTTTCCTCCCGCTTCTTCAGAGCTTTGGCACATGGGGCGAGCTTCTTAACCTTCCCAGGCCTCGACATCTTATCTGTAAGATGGAATCAATGAAAGTTATCTTAGGGCTGTCCACACAAGCGCTGATTTAGAGTGACATTTTCTGTGTAGTTTTGAGGATTGACTATATGCCAAACACTGTGCTGGCCGTTGGGAGGATCGAGAGAGGTGACTCATGAGGACTGGCCATGCCTGGGACGTAGTGGTAGTTTTTTGTTTCCATTACAGTCTCCTAGATGATGCCTCCTTCATCTAGTGTCTGCTTCCTAGATATCTCCAGCCCTCTTCCCTACCGAGGCAGCTCCTGTCTCCCTCTGGGTTCAGCAGATGTGTTTCTTATCCTCTCTGGCACATTCACATTCCTTGTAAATGAATGGTCCAAGGATGGAAGCATCCCCCATTTTACACACACACACACACACACACACACACACACACACACACACACACACACACACACACACACACGCCCTTCTCTAGAATTCTCCTGTGCTGCAGCCTTGGCCTTCCAGCCTGCTTTCTTACCCTTTGTCCATCCAATGTGAATTTCTGAATGTTTAACTTTCAGGCCTGCCTTTATGTTTCAACCAACATCAATTAGCTGATAGACCCTGGTTGACTTGAACATATATCACCGAACTTGGGGTTCTGAGGAGGCAGGTGTGCGTGATGAGTGAGCGAGCTAGTGTTGTCCAGGCGTGGCTCCAGGGTCCAGGGGCCCTTCATCGGTGCCATAGTCAATTAGGTGCCTTTTCCCTGCGAGCGCAGAGTTAGTGTCACCTGCCAACACTGTGTGTGGCCTCAGGTCAGAATGATGGTCCAGTGGACGTGGCAAGCCTTCCTTCACACACAGCAAAAGACTAGAAGATATAGAAACTCTCTTGTTGAGTTCTGCCTCCCACTAGCTCTCTCTCTCTCTCTCTCTCTCTCTCTCTCTCTCTCTCTCTCTCTCTCTCTCTCTCTCTCTCTCTCTCTCGTCTTCCAGAAGTAGCACACCACTTCTATCACAGTTCTGGGTCAAGCAAGGAAGAAGCTCCTTTTCCTTGGACAGCCGCAGGGAAGTGGGATTTTCACAGTGATGTTTACACTAGTAACGGAAGATCAAAGGAGAGAGGGGAACACACGCACAAGCAGGGGCCTTAAAACCCCACAAAGAAAGACGTGCTTTTCTGGTTCGCCAAGGCTCTCTTGTTCACAAGTCCTGGCTCATTATCTGAGAAGCCTGTGGGTAGCCTGACATGGGATTCCTGCCCCCTTCGTCCTCCTATTTCCACTCTGCCCTGCCCTGGAGGGTGGAACCTTACCAACCACCTGGCAGGATCTTCTTCCTGCTCACCTTCATAGAGACCATGGCAGTCCAAGGTTCCCACACTGCCTGGGGTGATCACATTCAGTTTAGGTTTCTGAGCTGGCTGGGTTCATTCGATTGGTGGAAGCTGGGTCAGACAATCAGAAAACGAGCATGGCCCTCAGAGGCACTCCCTGCAGATGTTGGTCTGTGGCTTTGTTCTGTATAGCAGGCTTCCCCACAACCAAACCTTACCTGGAATCGGCATACCCTGCCTCGTGTTCCCAATTACACAAATACTGGATGGTTAGACTGAATAGGGGACATGGTTCTCTTGATGCCTTGTGAGAATGACCGCTTTTACCAGCTACCAGACGTCTATCAACCTATCAGGGACAATCTTTGAACATCTCATTTTAAAAAAAAAAAATCACTTTTTCTTCAAAATGCATACATGACTTTGTGACCATCGATGCTATATTCTGAAGCATTAAGAAAATGAGTTGCTAAAAGACAGACATTTCTTTAATGAACAATTTGAATTTATGACACATTTGTTGTGAAATTTACTTTGTTGCTGTTGTTGTTGTTTTTTCCCGAAGAAACGTTAACCAATTCTAGAGAAATGGACTTTGGGTGAAAGTAACTGTGAAGAAGTAGTAGATTTTATAAATTAACATAAATATACTGTAGAGAAAATGTGTTTGGCATGTATGGGCCTATTTGGAACATTGATTTTTTTTCCCCCTTGCCTATTGTCTGACATTCTTTTTCTTGCTATGATTCTGAACAGTTCCTTAAGTATGCTCCATGTCTACTGGAGCCTAATATCACCATAGAAACCAAATTAGGCTCCATGTCAATGACAATTTGATTTCTAAAACCTTTTCTTCTGCCTCTCTCCATAAATCATGGTGTGTTTACGCCATGGCAGCTGGTTTCTCTCATGGGCTTTACAAGTGACATCCATCATATGACAGCAATGTGAGCAGTTCGCTTTAGTAGGGAGAAAAGGCCATATGATCCATCATCGTCATATACTGGTCTGTAATGTAATGTACACTCAATATGCAGAATCATACATATGCTAAATAAGTCACTAAATAACATCCGCTATCCTGGCCTGCTTCTGGTTTTGAGACATTGTCCTGTTCAGCGGCTCATTTGATTCATAGCCCATCACACTGGCCTGGGATTTTTGCACTCAAGTGGTATCTGAGGTATCTTTGTCATTATTCATAATCATAAGGTTGATTAAATTTTAATATATTCTTTTTACATAGATGATACTATAAAATCGAGAACCGTGTCTTAAAGGTGGATTTTATTGAGCAGTCATTTGTGACATTTGACCTGGCATCCTCAATTAGGAAAGAGATGAGTCACAAGGAAGGGAGTAAAACCCCCTCCCAGTCAAGCCCATCGCCCTGGCTGTCAGCTAATAGGGATGGATGTGGCAGCAGGTGCTCCCTGTAGAAATGTTAATGGCAAACTCTCCCTAGATGAAATCAGTGGGGGCTCTGCGAGGTGCAATTTATAAACCAGAGGCAAAATACTTGAGAAATGAAAGCAATAACAGGAAGTCAGGAAGAAAAAGAACCTTTGGCGTCTGCCTTCCAGCCTTGCATGAAGGTTGGAGAAGGCCCATCTGACTTGGCTCACGTCCTGTGTACCAACTACACACTTCCCCAATTTTCTACTTCCCAAGTCCTAGCAATACCTCATGACAACCTGAGATATTGACTCTCTCGGTCCTGCCTTTCAGAATGATTCCTTTCTTTCTGCTCACCATGAACTATATAAACTCTTTTGTCTTGGCTTACTTGTTGAATATGCAAGCCCACATCTCCCCAGCTCACGAGCACTCAAAGAGAAGGATTTTGTTTGTCCTGCTTGTATATTTCACAGTCTAATTCTGTGCTTGGATTTCTTGATCGTATGGGTATTTAGGACTTAGTGAAAGTTATTCGCCTACATATTGATAAATTCCCTTCAGTATCATGCGGTTGAGTTTACTGCATAAAATGACCACCAAACCCATGCCAACCAGGGTGCTGGGGGTACCAATGAGTAAGCTTAATCGTTTTTTGTTTGTTTGTTTCTAAGATTTATTTATTTATTATATATATAGTGTTCTGCCTGCATGTACACCTGCAGGTCAGAAGAGGGCACCAGATCTCATTATAGATGGTTGTAGGCCACCATGTGGTTGCGGGGAATTGAACTCATGGCCTCTGAAAGAGCAACTGATGCTCTTAACCTCTGAGCCATCTCTCCAGCCCGAGTAGGCCTAATCTTACCTAAGGAAGGAGGCCACGCCTTCTTCAACTGGAATAAGGCCTGAATTCTTCCAAGTTACACCAGAGGGAAATGCTCACCCGGGAGCCCGCGGGGCCCACGGGCCTCTCTGCACAAGCCTTCACCTAGGGCAAGTGCCTCAGCCTCGCCGCATAGCAGTCTTTAAAAGTGCTGAGGCAGGGCCTGGAGAGATGGCTCGGTGGTAAAGTGGTTGCTGTGCAAGGGTGAGGCCGGAGTCTGGATCCCCAGAACCCATTTAAAACGTCAGGTGGGGCAGCATGCTCCTGTAAACCCAGCTCTGGAGCAAACACTGCCAGATCCCTGGAGCTTAATGGCCAGCTTGCGTAGCTGAATTAGTGAGTTCTAGGCTCAGTGAGAGACTTGTGTCAAAAAATAAGGTGGTGCAGCAAGACCACAGAAAACACCCGCTATCAACCTCTGGCTTCCACATGCATGTGTGTACAGATGTGTGTGCACACAAATGGGTACACATACATGTTTTTTAAAATGCTAATGTATAGGTGTCCCACCCAGAAATTCTGCCGCAGTTCATCTAGGGTATGGCCTGAACAGCTGAACATTCTAAACTTCTCAGTGATTCTGTAGCCAGCCAGGTTATGGTCCCTTCCTAAGTCAGGGTTCTGAAACTTCAAGATGTGGAAGAACCACCTAGGGAATTTTCCAAGCTTCAGATTCCTGGGCATGTCCTCAGACATCCTATTGGGCAAGTTTAAAGTGGAACCCCCACATCTATTCTTGTGGCTGAGTTAGACTTAAGGCTTTCTTTGGCAAAACACTGCTGTCTGTT